TGAACAATTAATTAAACTAACCTTGATGCTCGTGTCAAATCGGCTTTGGTCAATGATTTCCTATCATATGGACAGGTAGTGTTGTTTTGAAGCCAATCATTAATACAGTGCTCGCAAAACGTCTGTAAACAACAGGTTGTGGTCACCGGACAGTCAAATATCTCCTGACATATACTACACGTGTATTCGTCCCGATCTTCGGCCGACAGGTCGGGGAACCGATCACTTGAATATCCCGGCATTTTTTACCCACAAAATTTAGTTATACACAAAAATAACATTCACCAAAATGAAATGTATTAATTACATAAACTCGTATGAAATATATGTTAACAATTAACTAATATTTAATGAAACAATAGAAATATACTATAGATTTATAATAATTATACGATTATTGTATTAGAAAACCGTTTGCGTAACATACCTACAATGTTTTTTGGTACACGTCATTTGATCAATGTAAATGATAAATACAGTATTGTGTTATCACAGCATAACTCACAAAATAAACACGAGAGAGAGAGAGAGAGAGAGAGAGAGAGAGAAATGGAGTTAGAGTACGGCACCACTTGGCACTGTACGGGCGATTGGCTCGGAGGCAGCACCGGGTACTATATGGCCGAACAGAGAGAGAGAGAGAGAGAGAGAGAGAGAGAGAACAAAGGTATTGTGAGGTATTGAAGTATTTGTTGTGTGAGATGTAATGGACGGAAAAGTAGTCGGAGTTTCTGTCGACAAACACCTGAGTTATAACAAATCTGTGGTTAGATTTATGTTAATATAAATACTTTTGTTTTTAAAACTAACTGTGTGTTTTGTTGGACAAGGTATTTGTGTTTCAATATATGGGTTATATTGAATATTGTGTGTTACACGATTAATACAACAATATACTTTACATCAATAAAACAATATCTAATTTTGAAAATTCAATTATCTAAACTTTCATTATATAAATATGCTATTGAAAATAATTTATTGTAATCATTGGTTGAACTTACAATTAAATATCAATTAATAAAAGTAGTTTATTTATCAAGTTTATAATTTTAAACATCTTGATAGCAATTGTGGTTTGTTTTAAGTCACTTATAATTATTGATCTGCTATGGAAACGTATGCGCGCGCTTCACACCACCTCATTCAACCACCGGACGCATCAAAGCTATGCTACCAATAATGTCGGACACGTTTGAACGGTTGGCCACTCTATTGGACGCGAAAGCTCGGGTCAGCCAAGTGGTGGACTTTCGCACAGTTTACGACTCGTTCACGTTTGACGTGATTACTAGGGCTGTGGCCGGTGCCGACGCCAACGTCCTTGATCACCCCGTGGATAACCCACTGTTCACCTCGGTGATCACCATGTTTTAAAACGACCAAGGTGTGAGCGATTGGTTGGCGTTTTATATGCCGTTTTTGCGCCGTTTCGTTGACATACCGTTCTTTGATCAGAAAAAAATGCGAGTAATCAGCGATACTGTGGATCACGTGATCAGCGAACGGGTGGCCAACAATGCACAGGTGCCCGACTTTTTGCAGCATTCGGTGAACGCTAGCGTATGGGCCGACACATACCCGACTTCTCCTGTAAGCGTCAATAAGGCTTTTGATAGTAAGTAGTATTAAATGAATTAAGCGTGTTTGTTAAATAATTATTGATTTACCATGATTGTTTTTCATTTGCGTATAGAATTAACCAAGGAGGAAGTGATTGGTCAGACAATAAACATGTTGGCCGCCGGACACGAGACCACAGCCTCGCAGTTGTGTCTCATTACTCGCATACTTGCGCTCAAACACTGGTATCAAACAAAACTGGTCGACGAGATTCATCACACACTGTATAATAAGGATAACAATGAGTTGTCTATGGATTACGAAAAGTTGCAAAAAATGCCATTTTTGGACCCATTTATCAAAGAAGTGATGCGAGTTAACTGTTTGGTCACCCGGTATGTAGTGTTGCCACATGTGTTCCACTTAATATTCCGTTAGTAATTAAACAATTAAATTATTCTTAAATGTTTATATTCATAATAGTCGACAGAATGCTTACAAAAGACACGTATTTAGAGGGTATTTATCTGCCAAAAGGCACGTCTATTGTGATACCCATTTGGGCGTTGCATTTAGACCCTGATCATTTTGCGGACTCTGATGACTTTAAGCCGGAACGGTTCCTACCGGAAAATCTAGATGATATCAAACCGTATACATACCTACCCTTCTCTACCGGTCCGCGAAATTGCATTGGTATGCAATTTGCGGTATTAGAGCTCAAGTATACGTTAGTTAAGTTGTTGTGTAGGTATGAGTTTGTGCCGTGCAATGAGACCAAGGTTAGTTTTTAATTGTTGCTTTGTAGTTATTCATGCTCGTGTAATTGTCATTAATTTATTATTGCAATAGGATATGGACTTTTAAAATCCATTGGTACAAGTAGCCAGTGTTAAACGCATGATGGTTAAGATTAAGCACCGTGATGGATTTAATAATAATTTTTAATTTATTTCATTACGATATTTTTGTAATTATGAAAATTTATTACAAATTGATTAAATACTTTTGTAAACAGATTATTATAATAATTAAAATGCATTCAATTTTTTGTCATAATTTTGTTATTAAATCTATTACGTTTGATAGGATAACTACTATTACCACCAAAATCATAATGATGTACGCAAAACAATATAAACAAATATTTATACCCCTGAGTGGCCGTTTTATTAATGGAGGCCGATAGATAACCGGCAAACGCCAACGGCATCATGGTGATTAAACATGAATTTATAAAGATTAATTGAACCAGTGGGAGCATATTCATAAAAATGACCGAGTACAAAATTGTTACAGCAATAGTGCTCATAAAAAACCACAGACAGCCGATGTATTTGGACAAGTATTTAGTATTAGAGTCATTAATCTCGGAGTACAGGGCGTACGCGTCGGTCATATACCGCGTGAGAAACTGTATGCGTCCGCACGGGTTGTATAGGCGATCGTTTAACGCGCGTAATTTATACCGTAAGTAATAGCATATGAGGTACATGTGGACCATTACCCACGTGCTGAACGCTACCGTATGTTTGGCCATTATGGTATAGTGTACGCTGTGTAGTATACCCCAGGTTAGCACATCCGTCAGCTGACACTTGATAAAATAGCCACACAATATGAACGCAGGGTAGAATACCATAAAGTAGTTGAGCACCACTTTGGTTATGGTGAAGATGACACGAGATCTACGGGCAATTTCGTAGACAAACACCCGATCGGTTATACCCAATGACTTTGGTGAACGATACCCGGCCAACATATCAAACAAGGTTAAAAATGTGGGCTCATGAATACCGCCCACTATATGGTTGTACCCGAATATACTTTGCACAACGAGCCCGTAGCCACCCCAGGCCACGCATATTAGATCCAAATGCTTACTTAAGCCATATATGTACGTCGTGTCGGCCACTGTCAATAGCAAGCGATCGTGATCTGGCGACGAGGGTGTGAGTGCGCCCACCACGCTCTTAATAAAGAATAACCATGTACATACGTATATGAACAACGGGTGGTCAATTAGCCGTCTATGCGCCGACTGATTATAACGGCTACCATGAGTTGGTAATAGACCAATGATATACAGCTGACTGCTGGCCAAGTGGGTTATCAGGTGTGCCGGTAGTGGACTGTTTAGGTTTATTGTTTTCATTTTGAATATTATTGTGTTTGTTTGAATAAATAATAAAATGTTTTAGTTTTTTTAAATAAAATTTTTTATTGTTACACATACAATCGTATATCTATTACTATATTCTATTAACATTTAATAAGCTAAATTTAATGCATTTAATGTGCTCATGAGAAGTAGTTTTATTATTTTGTTATTTATATTTTACTAATAATTAAGAAAGTTATATTTAATAACATTATATAAGTTTGTTTGCACTAATTATATTATATTTATTAAATTATTGATATTTAAGTTGATAATTATTGCAGTATACACTAGTGTTATAAATAATAATACTTATAGTGTCAATAATAATTATTTAATTTATATTAGTTAATATCGTACATTAGTCATTTTACCATTAGTGCCTATTTACCATTATGCTAAGTACCTATTAGCATAAATATCTATTAGCTATTAAACTTAATGATTGTATTTATAATTTAATTATAGTTTTTACAAAAAAATTGCTTAAGAAATATCTACGTTATTATATTTAGTGCCCGATATTACTATGAAAATTGCTAATATGTTTTTACATTGTTACTATGCACAATTAAATTAGTTTTTATACTCTAAAGAAGTTTAATATTCAATTATAGTGTATATGAACTAACTTAACTTTTTGTTTCACAATTAAATTCTGATGAACTTTTCTATAAAAAATATTTCAGTACTCAATAATTATTTATTTTACATTAATTAATAATCAATTTAAAATTGATTTCACTATCAACAACTCATTACCTTATTGACAAAGTTATTAAAATAATTATTGGGAAATATTAAAATAATAAAATTAAATTATTAAAATAATTAAATATTAAAATAATTAAATATTAAAATAATTATAATAATATTCATTAGTTAAACATTGAAATCAGTGTTAAGTGATCAAAAGCATCGTGATATTTATAATTGGGTTTAATTTATTATTTTATTTACAAACAATATATTTATAAAATACCGATTATTATTCAAAATAGCATTAATTAGGATGTTTACTTATTTTAGCATTTAATATTATATTAATTTGATCTAATTGGATGGCTTGGTAAATTAATTATTTATTTAATCATATGATTTATATATGATATGACAAAAATCAAATTATACAAGAATTCAATTATTTATATAATAATTATTGATATTTGATGAATATTTTGCTTAAAAGACCTAAAAATAAATAATGATTTGTAATTTTACACAACAATTTTAATGTTGGTAAAAACAAACAATAGTAATCAATGTAAAATTCAATTAAATAAAATACATAATTAATAAATCAATGTTTACAATTCATACAAAATATATAAACAACTTGGTAATTTATAGCATGATGTATTTATTACTTATACAACACATGAGTAATAGTAATAATTATTACAATTAATTAATTGACTTAATAATTACAAATCAAAAACAGATACATATATTTAAAAGAGTGTATTTATAACTTATATTAATTATTAAATTAATGTTTAATGAAGTTT